TTCTGCTGCACACTTGAGGACAGCGATTTTCAAAATGTACTTTAAAGAACTCTAGGAATTCCTTCAGACCTCCTTCATGTACTGTGAGAAGAGGTGGGTGTTTGGGCTCCCACAATGTTACCCACACTGCACTGCACGTTGCATAACTGACACATTCAGCCACCACACAGGCATTTTGAGTAAACAGCGTGTGTATGTCTTGTCTTGAAAACTAAGCTTTGGGATGATAAAACCCTGAGTACATCTAGCATCATCAAAGAAAAAGATCAGTGCAAATTATGTGTTAGTGCAGGCTACCATTTTCTACCCTGTGCCTCTTTACAAGGCAGCTGCAGTGGCAGCAGAAACAGACATGTGTGTCATGCCTGTCGATGAGCTAACACATCTGTGAAGGAATTTCTTAGCTAGGCAAATAGAACTCACGGTGAAATTGTGCAACCTGAGGCGTATGCGTGGTGTCCCGTGTAGCGAATTTCGCAGCGCACGACGTTGTTGGAATAGTCCGACTCGGGCACCAGGTAGCTGGGGTTCACGCTGACCTAGGCAACATGAACATCATCTGTGTTTCAGAGTCCATCAGCGCTTGCTGGGTAATTCCTCCCCATCCCCATAGGGCTAGAGCAAGGAGAGGAAGACTTCAACTAAGTCAAGTCGGGAGAAGGTTTAAGTTAGGTAAGTGGTTAAACTGGGGACGTTATAGAAGGAGGCTGTGTACTTTTCTCTCAAGTTCTTTAAAATAAGAACTTTTTTATACACCTAGGTTGGTTTAGAAGTAGTTGTAGAAGATGTATAATTGCTTATAGGACCACATTTTTTAACATTTGAATCCAGAGAAGAAGGCCCACTGAGTTGCAACTGAAATAAATTACAGGGACATATTTTCCAAGGTCTCTACCTTTAGAATGTAGTTGCCAGGTTGTACGTCTGTAATATCAATCCATTGGCAGTCTATGTCTGCATTATAGGTATCATAGCAGCCAGGACTCAATCCCTAAAATGAAGAAAATAAAAAAATTTTAGAGGTATATATATTTAGAATATGCTAAAGAATATGCTTATTATTTGCAAATTAAATTTTAAGTTAGTACTTACAAGAGTTTGACATAAAACTATACTTATATTTCATCTCCTTTGAGAAGTATATATAACTCAGCCTTATAGCTCCTCCAGCTAAAAAAAATACAGGACTAATATAAGTAGTAGTACATCTAGCTTCTTAAAAAGTGTCATAAATCACCAGTGATAAATACAATCTTAAGTGACAAAATAGGCCTCCAGTAAAATTCTAGAATATCACCAGCTCAGGAATAAAGGCCATGTAATAATCTTCTTAGCTAAACTGTCTTCTTTTCAATGCAACCCTCCCCAGAGTCTCTTCTTGGAAATTACCTTCCTGTACTCATAATACATTTTTTTTTGTGTATAGATTTCATAGTGTTTATCACTTTCTGCTCTGTATTATAATCATACTATATAAGAATACACCTAATTAGAGAATGTAGGCTCCCTAAGGGTAGAGTCTGTGTTGCATTTTTGAATAGCTAATACTTGGAAGTATGGATTATGTGCCAGGAACAATTTTCAATACGTTACATATATAAATTCAGTTCTCACAATTACGTGAGGCAGGTGCAATTATTATTACCCCCAGTTTACAGATGAGGAAACTGAGATAAGATCAAATAACTCACCTAAGGATATACAGCTAATAAGTGGCTGAGCTGGTTTTGAGTTTAGGCTTTCAGGGGTCCAGGGTCCCTATCCTCAACCCCCACACTACAGTCTTTCTCACATTGTCACTGAAATATTTTGTTGAATTAAAGGGGTGTATGTAGGCCTCAGTGGATGAATGCCACCATCACTCGGCTTGCAAAGATACTCACTTCAATAAGTAATGATGCCTTCTATAGGCTGAAAAGGGGAAAATACCTGTAAGTTACAGTCCTTGCTCTCCAGAAAGTCATAGTCTGGAGGCATTTGCTCAAATTGCAGTCCATAGGTATATTCTTGATTCAGTTAATTCTTCGTGAGGAGCTGTAACTGTTATATTTTTATTCTAATACAAAACAAATTAACAAGCATATGCTAGAATCATTTTAACTTACTACTCCCATTTAATTTCAGCACCCAAAATTACTTTGGGCTAAGATTTCCTTGATCACCAAAGAGATAGCAAAATCATCTAGGCGTGTTCCAGCAATGCTTGTTCAACTGTTGTCTGATTTAGGAGAACTGTGATCTCATACAGCACACAACAGGGGAGCTCAGGTCAGACTCAGAAGGACCTGGGCCACAGCAGTGAGCACCAGAGTCCCACTATGGCCCATACCAATTTGCAGTCTTCTGTGGATAGGATGTTGAGTAGTGTACATAGATAATGAAGAACTTTTGGTTTCTGATTCCTACACATGGTTCTGGTCCTGGCACATAATACTCAGTAAGTATCAGCTATTATTATTATATTATTGTTAGTACTGCTGCTGCTCTTTGTTACTAGCACCTGGTTGGCATTGTAAGGCATCCTTTGGGTTAGATACTTACTTAACAGTGATTTAAATAATGCTACAATGCTTATCTTACCTCATGTGAGTGACAGCTTTAAAGAATTGGGAGTTGGCACTAGATAGGATTAGTCAGCCGGCAGAATGTAAGAATGAGCTTTGATTATTTGAACAAGCAAACAAAAAACAGTTTTTAAGGCCATTAAGCAAACAGGCATTTTATGTATTCAAAGTCAAACTTTAAAAACAGATGAAAGGTAGAACCTCAGCCAAGGCTGTCTAAATAAGCTATTTGCCTTTAGCAAAACATAACTGTTTGTTACATGAAGTTAGTAAGGTCAATAAACAGTTTCTAGTTTTGTATATATTTAATATGTGAATTGTTATATAAGAACTTAAAAGCTAAATGAAAGTATAAATATAAGGAAGTTATATCTAGTTTATCTTTGGATAGATTCAAACCACATTATAAATACAACTATAAGTCAACATTGGGGCCTTGTGACAATTTTTTCTTTCCTTTAAATGAAGTTCATGTTCAAGAAATACCAGTCTAGTCAAAGCACAAAATACTTAAATCGCTTGTAATGCAAGGCCTGGTGAATAATGATTAAATAGGACATAAACAGAGGATAATTAACATGAAAGCTTATTTATAAAGTGAAATGAGGTTGCCCCAAGGACCCAAGTGCTATAGATACCTATAGTCCTGGATTCAAATATTTCGGCACTGAGCTGTCCAGAGTGCCTGTTTTTCTAAGTGAAAAAGATAAACTCCAGGTCTCCTTCACAGGCAGCTACTCTGGGACCTGGAGATCACTGAGTGGAGAGGGAATTTCTGCGGGCACATCTGTGTAATGTGTGGATAGGTTAAGTCTCCTTTTGCTTAAAGAATACGTGTTGGCCCAGGGCATTTATAATTGAACTTTTTCTACCTCCAATTGCTATGATGATCTAAGCTCAGAGAAAGAAGCAACTGGAACATTTAGGTCACCGGAAATCTTCCTGCCACAGCCCTGGAATTTGCTTCCCAAGATGCCAGCTGCTGATCCCTTTGTGCCAAGTTATATACATTCACTATTCCTTGCCAAGATTTCGGCTAAGTAAAATTATAATGTCCTTTTACAAATTAAGGTTTCTTACGGAAATACTGGCATGGCTTTTAACTGACACACATTTTCCCATTCTAAGACATACAAACTGCTTAGTTCAGCACTATTTTAAAAAATCAATCCAGGAGACATCTGACATCAATTATACCGTAGGTTTAAACATATATGCCTGGAGAAAGAAATTACATCCTTCTGCTCTTATTCGCATGATTAAAAGAGACATTTTTTAAAAGTGCTTTTTAAGAAACTTTCTTCCCTTTTGCTAAGCCCAAACTTATTTTCTCTCCAATTTACTAATCTGGAGAGGGAATGCTTTTTCAGGTGAGAAAAACAGAGGTTTCTTCCCTATGGTTACCTGCCAAGACAGATAAAGAATACAGAATCAGGGCAGATACTGGAAATCATTCAGATTTTTTCAGAGAGTAAACTGTCTTTCGTTGTGGAGCCTAATGAGTATGCATAGTGACCTTCTGTGATGGTGAAATATTTTAAAAGTCATTTGAATCAAGTCATCACTTTCTTTTTCCTAATTATTTTCCTAAATGAAGCAGTTTATAGAAAACAGGCAGACAGAAAGCAAACAGAAGACCACTTAGTTTTCACTCGAAGCCTGAGGTTCCTGGTTTTGGGGTGCTAGCCTACCTGTGTGTGTGCCGTACATGCAAATCTCCGGTGGTAGCCGTAGTCACAGGATGTATCCTCCAGACAGAAGCTCGCTTTGTGGCCTTCAGCCACCCTCCTCTGAGTGCTGGCATCCAGCAGGTCGTAGTGGCTGAATTCGTCCATGCTGTGGTAATGTCTAATGTTCCACACAATGCAGAGACAGCAGTCAGTAACATACAGAGGAAGCACTGAGGAATTTAGACAACTTCCCCACTGCCTCCCACATTTGTCTCCACATTAAAATTGAAATCAAGTTTATCTTCTTAAAGCTAGACTCATGCTAGATATCTTACCCCCCAGGACAGAAATCTATCAAAATTGTAAGCTTTTAACTTTGCTACTAGAAAAAAAAAAAAAAGACTTATTTTGAGCATTTTGCTTTTCTATTACACCCTGACTTCTCTTTGAATATTAAATTGACATAGACAGTAAATTGTCTGTGTTTAAGTGAAACTTGCCATATGTTTTCTTGTATTTTGCTTTTGGCTGCCACTATGATGGATGTTTCATTTCAGAAAAGAAGAGCACATGACTAGGGAGGTTTCTGTGAGGTTTTTAAAAGTCGAGTTCTCACATATTTTAAATCCTTACTAAAATACAAAGAGAAATACGGCATGTTTTATCCACCATTATTACTGAACTGATATGAACTTTTATTTAGGAGAAAAATAGTTCTGTTTTATCACAGAGTGCTCATATCTGTTTTTCTCATGTCATTAAACAGATGGTGCTGTAGTTCATCTTTTCACATAAGGAAAGAACAAGAAGAAATGGCTCAAATTACAGAAAGTTGAAGGGCACACATCAGGATTTCCTGGCAGTCAACACCTGGACAAATTACCAAGGCAAATTATAGAATTGCCTTATGAGAAGATCTTTAAATTTAGGACTGAACAGGCAACTCTCCTGGGTTCAATGTAGGCCTTGTAGAAGATGGAGGTAGGTCCTTCTCAGCTCAGTGGAGTATATCATCTGCATCTTTCTTCTTTGAGGATGATATCTGAGGCCTTTCGATAACGTATGTTGGTCTTTATTAAATACTAACTGTAAATGATCTTGGCTAGTAATAGGATTTTTTAGAAATCTTACCTGTAATATATTAGAGTAAAATTCTAGTGAATCAAATTGCTATGTCCTATCAACAGTTTAAGTACACTGGATGTAGGGTTTCCCATTTCAAAGGTAGCAGGACTAGTAGTTGATGCATTTTCTTAGACTCCCTTGGTTATGTCAAATTACATAGAGAAAAATTCTAAATGTAAACCACAGCAAGTTCTCCCCTCTGTGTATGAAATAAGACTTGCATCTGTCCCATACAGAGCCACCAGAAAAATGAAAAAGCAACTCAAAAGTACCCAGGAGGCCCATCTACTTACTGGTGACAGCTGTGCCATTCCCAGGAGTATCTTGGTCGGCTTGGTAAGAAATCTGATGTCCCTTGGTTTTTCACTCTTTGAGGGAATCTTAGCAGCACCCTGTGATCATAGTCTCTTGCCCTGTATGCTGAGCTGTGATTTTCAAAAAAGGAAGATGATTATTTTCACAAAATGTTAACTAGAAACAAAACTATAACCAAAACCTTCCCATTTTATAACAGTGACTACCCCTTGCTCCTAACTAGACTATCAGTTCCAAGAGACATTTTGCTTATTTTGTTTACTGCTGAAACCCTAGTGCTAGGACAGTGCCCGGCAGGTCAGTCAGAGCTCAGTGAATATTTGTTCAGTGGGTGAATGAATAACAGCTATAGACATCTGCAGTTAAAAATTTTTTTAAAAACATAATAAAATTAGCATTAAAACTTTGTATAATAATCAATTCCAGTCTAACCATATGACTGAGTGAAACTGAGATGGAAATTATCCCAAATAAAAAAATCATATTTGCTTAAGAATTTAACAACATACTTCTTAAACAGTTAGCTAAGATGTAGAGTAGGGAAATAACTCTAAAAGTATACACCCAGATTAGATTTTGTAACTTCACTATCTTCAAAACAAGGGCATTAGTATCATAGGAGTGGAGTGCAAGGGTGTGAGTGATGCAAGACTCAAGAATGGAAATGATGAGCTTGGATTCTGCTCTTCCTTCAGCCTATCTATTCTAAAGGGTCAAAGCGGAAGAAATATAAATAAATTGTTTAGAACTAAACAAACATCATTCCTTCTGATGTATTTCCTGTGGATATAAAAATACTACTCATGACCTTATTTTATGCACACTATAAAAATTCTTATGAGACCTACTGAAACATCTTTTGCTCCCTCTGCTGGTTTTCCATAAGCAAGAATTCCATTCCCAAAATTGCTCTCATTTTATTTTAGGACAAATGTAAAAACAAAGCTCTTGCTCATGCACTTATTCTCGCAGAAGTAATACCCAAACAGCTAAGTGAACTGTGGCTTTGAAGAAAGAAAACAACCTTTGCCAATGAGGGTGCCACACTGGCAAATTAACTCCCAGTCTTTTAGAGGAGTATTATCAAACTCTTACATTACAATCGTTTTCCATTTTATTGTACAGTTGTTTAACAGAAAGTTTTTGGTAACAGTTGGCTTCAGAGTTTAAGGATCTTGGAATAAGAACAGGAGACCCCAACTCTCCAGGATTGGGGTTTGTTCCATCTCCCTGATTTGTGCCACAGTTTGTAAGGCAGAACCCACAGAAATCTTCAAAACTTTAACCCTCCATCCAGGTCAGCATGCCCAGTAGATCATGTTCCATTTCCCAGCTCCTATCCCACTTTACAACTCTTGTCTGCACGCAAGAAGAGCGGTCAGACCCAGACCCCCAGAGCAGCCCGCGGAACCGGGACTGGGGAGCCAGGCCGTGAAGATCCTAGCAGGTACCTGGCCAAGCAGTTTTCCTCCGCAGCGCATCTCAGGTTGTACATGGACATCTTTTGCACGTATGTGGAAGCCTGAATGTAGTAAGGGTCGGGCACCAGGTCCGGGAGACCTAAACGTCAGCAGGCGATGGACACAGTAGTGAGATAACCCAGCGGCCCCCGTCCCAGCTACGGGTAGCTCCATGTCCCTTCCTCCTCACCCTTCGCCCAACCGGCTGCGGGTGGCCAGAGAACGGGGGGACGCCCGGGGCGGCAAAGCAAAGTGGAAAGAAAGCAGGAAGGGCCAAGCGCGCTGTTTGCACCAGATTCCAGGACTGCCTTTGCAGGCGAAGGGGGAGGGCTAGGATCTGCGAGGACTAAGGCCTGCCGCGCCTAGGCAGCCACGTCGGGGAGCTCCAGAGTTGGGGAGGGGGGCGCGGGTGCTTCCGGCGACTTGGGAGTACTTACCATACTGAAAGTAGCCGGTGCCATATCCCGGCCGGTACCTGCTCCCGGACCGTGGCCTTTCGTAGGTGTCGTAGTAGTTGTAATAGGGGTTGTCGTCGGAGTACTTGTAGGGGTTGTACGGGTCGTCGCCCACCATGCCGTCCACGCGGCTGGGCGGCCGCAGGTTACTGAGCGCCGGGCGCTCCCCGGACGCCGTCTGGTTGTCCTCGCGCAAGGCCCCAGCGTCCCGGGCCCCGGACGACGAGTAGCCAGCTTGGAACCAGTGGCGGGCGGTGGGCCTGGGGCGTCCAGCGGCGGCTCCCAACGAGCCGGCCACCGGCGGCCCCGCCGCCGCGGTTCGGTTGTTGCGGAGCAGCAGGATCGGCGTGCGCGGCTGCGGGGCGGCGGCGTTGGCAGCGCCCGGGGCGGTGGCGCCCGGGTCCCGTCGGCGCTGCGGCTGGTACTGCGAGCCCAGGCTCAGCAGGCTGAACACCTGCCCGTTGTTCTCCCATTGGATCGTCTGGCGCCAGGCGCCCGGAGCCGCCGGCGGCTCGCGAGGGGTCTGCTGCTGGCCGGCGGCCGGCGGGGCGCAGCGCACGAGCGCGCAGAGCTGCAGCGGCCCCAGCAGGAGCGTGGTCCAGGCGAAGCGCATCGCTCCCTTTGCGGGATTGCGCCCTCTCTGGGAGGACGTAGCTCGGAAAAAAGAAAAACGGATCTCAAATCACCAGAGGGAGAGAGAGATCTTCAAACAGGGAGGCGGGCGGAGCGCGGCTATCTCAGTCCCCACCAAGCAGTGGGAAGCTTAGGCTGCAGACCCTCCTCCAGTACAGCCAGCTGCTAGGACGTGGCACCCGCCTCTCTCCTCTTTCCCAGTCCTGGAAGGCGACGGGGAGCGGCGCAGCGGCCTCGGCGAGCGGGCAGTGTCTGGAGTGAGAGAAGGAGGAAAGATTTTAAACTTTCTGGCACGTTTGCAAAGTTACACAAGCCGTTCTGGCCCGGCAGCCCCTCCGCTGTTTGTTCACGTAATGCGATTGGAAACGTGCAAGGCGGACAGCTCCTCGCCGCTGCCCCTCCCCCCTAGTCCAGTCCTCCTCCCCCCAGACACGTTGCACAGGGAGCGTTAAGGGGAAAGAACAAAACGGAACACACATCCTGAGACACACTGGGCTTAATCTGGGGCGAACATGCAGGAATTTCAAAAGACTCAGACAGGCGAAGGCAGCCAGGCCATGGGGCGACGCCAAAATATGCACGAAGAAATATGCTATTAGGTCACCAGCCCTGGAGAGGCGGGAAGTCGGGAGGAGGGGTGGGGGCTGGGGGCGGCGGGATGATTGTGACTAACGTTTATCCATAAGGAGTTAACCAGACACGTTTCCCAGTGCATGCTCATTCGCTTTTATGGGAAGCTCCCTCAGCAAATAAACCCCAGGATATCAAATTTTGTTTTTCTGTGTAGGTAATGAGAAATTGGTTACAAATTTGTTTCCTACAGTGAATATTTTAATAACCAAAAGTTAAATTTTACAGGGAACAAAGCCCACTAAAGCCGAAACGTATAAACCTGTCTCTTTTTCAAAATGCCGGCCTGGTTTGTACCTTGGGTGGAAACGAAGAACCGTCTTTCATCTCGAGAGTGCCTACCAGGAAGTTTAAGTAGAGGGGGCGAGAGCAGAGTCAGCCAGAGCGAGCCCTCAGAAAGCAGCTTGACATAAGCATTTTATCTGACTTGTTTCTTCTCTTTCTGTATCTTGTAAGGAGGTTCGACTTTGGATTTAAAAAAAGAAAACTTCAATCACCATTTGTTAAAAGTGGAAAAGTCAGTAAAGCAGCGAACGGTGTTTGATTGGTCTTCTAATCTAAACAAAGGGTCGCTAAAGAAATAGCCTCCAGATTCAGATTTTGACAGGAGTAGGAGTGGCCACAGGAGAACGGGTGGGACGGCGGGGGTAGGCGGTAGGAAACACTGACTGGAAAGAGATGCTTAATGGACCAGTTATTCACACATCACTCAGGGTTTGGGCAACACGGGAAGCATTTCTGAGGAAAAAGAAAAAGTTTAAATGGCCCGATTTAAAACTATGACTCAAAACCAGATTTTAATAACCCTTTTATTGGTCTCGTCACTGGGCTGGTGTGTAGATATGCTTCAGTCTACGCCCATGACTGCTTGTTGTCCCTCCCTTTGTGTTTGATCCTTTTTGGGTGGACATAGGCTGATTTTACTGCCCAGCAACCATTTTCTCTATTTTTTCCTGATAAAAACAACTATTTTCCTTTGGGAAACTTCCCTCCCTCAACTGCATGGTGGGGCTGACTGGGCAACCGTGAGACTTGCCCTCCTCTCAGCAGTGGGCATGAGGTGCACTCTGGGCACTTCGAGCCACTCCCTAAAACTCAAATCCTGAGCAGAAGGACACAAGGGTCAAAAACATTGGAGCCCATGAGTTCTTGCTACACAGATTTCCCCTGAGCTGTTTTAAACCAGTACCTTCCAAGATCTGGTCCTTAAGCTTTCTCTTTCATTTTCCCAGTGCATCCCCTCGTGGCTTAATGTGGCCGAAGTCAGTTTCTGTTGTTTGCCACTTACGCGCCCTGACACTGAGGGGGTTGGGCTAGTTCTCACACCTGATCATGTCACAGTTCTCTGTCCAAGGGGATAGGTTTGGGTCTTTTGCGTCAAGTTGGATTTGCTCTACCCATGAATACACAGCATCCTCAGGCACAACGGGGTATCAGATAAGCTTTCCAATGGATTGGTAAATCTCTTGTTTATATGGTGAAGAAAAAAATTCAAATGGAAATCCCGCTGATGGCAGGGGAATAGTGCCATCTCTCTGTATGAAGGTCAGAGACATCTCTAGCTAGCTGCATTTTATAGACTTGTTACAGAACTAAAGCGACTCAGTTTCTCCAAACCTGCTATAAAAAGGTGGAATAAAAAGAAGCAGCAGGTGTATATAATTTGGATGGACAGGGAAAATTATAGGAAAAGCAGGAAGGGAGAGAGTATAATTATCTCTCATCAGAAAAAGGCTGTGCCCATGAGCAGCTTACTCCCAGAAAATAGAAGCCCACAACTGCTAGTGCTTAACCACACGTGGCTGAGGGAAGACCTTTGCTATGGACTGTTCAAATGGCAGACCAGAGCAACCCCTAATGGGAGGGCAGAAAGTTTATGCTGGATTTTAGATAAAATACCCTTGTTTCCAATCCTGGTGCTTACATATAAAAGCTGTGGGATTCAAGGATTAACCCAAATCCCTTCTAAAGTGTTTTTCCTCTGATTTTTATGACTATCTGAGTAATTACAGCTACTTTCCATTTATTCACTATCACGTGTCATTATGATTGTCAATATTTAATTGAATAGCTTCTTTAGTTGGATTTTGAAATATTGGACATATTTCATGTGTGAGTCTGCAGACTGCCATTTCCCCTTTTTACGTATTTCCTATCAGTGAAATACAATACACATTTATTTGTTTTACAGGTATTTCTTGAACACATTTATGCTCTGAAGAGTACTATACCATAATGATGATTTGTACACATGAGCCCTCAATGAGTGTCAACTTGTTCACTCATTTTCAAAATGTATAGTTGAATGAGGTTCATCATTTATGTCAAATTTGCTCCAACAGACTTAAAAATATCTTAAGAGTATAAATGACTAACTGGAACAGTAATTATGTGCAGTATTTATTTTCTTTTAAATGCACACTAAAGGGGAAAATCACACATCCTAATGAGATTTTTAGTTGGATTTCTCTCTCTTCCACTTTCTCTAAACTCTCTCTGGCTTAAGGCTTAGCCAACTGAAGACAGGCATGTGGCTACCACATTGGGAAGAACTGGAAGAGTCTGCGAGACCTGTGGGAGACTATCTAGCCACAGATGTGCTCCCTGTTCAGTGACAAACTGTTATCAGCAAGATAGGAGGATACTTTCTTTAACTCAACACTGAAAAAATAATAATTACACCACCAATTGCATTTACATCAAGATGCCTTTCACTTTTTAGCTTTGGTAAGATCCATAGCTGATTCCTCTTTGACCTTGACACTTTCTTTTTGTGGACAATTCTGCAATATATATATATACCATAAGAGAGAGAGAGAGATGGAATGACGCTAATTTTTTTTTTTAAGGTTCTAAGCTGTGGATATCAAGAATTTAAACTGCAACATCTGGCCCATTGGCCAAGACGGCAAAGTTGTCATAGGCTAAGTTCCTGATACCTGTTAAACGTATTTATATTTGTGAGCTAATTCAAGCAAAGGAAGGTAGAGCTATGCAGACAGCCCAAGCCATGTAGCAGTGCCACTGAATGTCCAAAGTCAAAACACTAATGCCATAGTCAAAGACCTCCGAGTTGAGCATAAACTCTTTTGTTTGGTGCTCAAGAAGCATATATAAATCATGTTCTTTGGTAAAGACTAATGTCCACATGTGCTTTGGTGTCACACAGTTTGAAAACATCACAGAGAATAAAAAGAACAAAACAAGTGGGAAGTTGGAGATGTGTAAGAAGAAATGACTGAGAGAAGAGGTAAGTATGACATCCGGCACAAGGGGGATGCATCAAGAGGTGAATGAGGACACTGAGCACATTCATGTTAAATCAGTTCAGAAAAAGGGGAACCGAGTGGAATGAAGAACCAGGAATCTTTTTAGTTGGAGTAAAATGGAGGAGAGGAAAATGTTAGTCTTAAAGTTAACAGTGTGCCTGTGTTCCCTTCTCCTCCTCCTTGTCTTCGGCCACATACCACTTCTAGGTACTTACCCAAATATAAAAGGTAGACGGTTGGTACACACATGTCTGTGTGTCAAGACCAAACTGGAAAAAAAAAATCAGTAAACAGACTGGGTAGAAGAATTCCAGAAATAATGAATTTTAAATATATCTTGTTTGGTTATCCATCCCCTTGGGCCACTTCAGGAAGGGAAAAGTGAAACTTAACCCCAGGGAATGGAGAAGTATTTCATTCTAGTTTCTTCACTGCATTTTCATACATGATTAAGTAAACAACTTTAGTCATTATAACAAAATGGAAAAATAAGAGGAGGCAAAGTTTTGATAGGAGAATGGGTCTTTGAAATTCAGTGAAGCAGAGTTCAAAGTAATTTGGTTATATTGACCACAAAAATAAGGGGTCAGCCAGTTGGCAAAACTACCTCCAAGGAAAGTCCAAGTGATTTGATTGGGCCTGATGGACTGGCTGGTGACAAAGAGGCAGCTGTTCTTCATGCTGTGGGGTGCACTAGGGTTCTTTCTAACTGATAGACCAAGGTGTGTTCCCCAGACCACAACCTGGCTTATTTGGTGCTCCTCAACTCTTCCTGTTTTCACCTCACTGACCTAGAAGCCTTAAAGTTATCTAATTTAACATAACCTAGGTGTGATCCTCTGAGGAGGTGCAATAGAGATAAGGAGGACATTTATGCTGAACAAAGGCATTACCGTTGTCTGCCTGTCACAAGCAGTGATCGCAGTCCACCATCAGCCACCCTCTGCTTTAATTTAACTGAGGAGCCCTGCTTTCTGTTGGATCTGAGGAGGAGCGAGTCAGCAAGTTATTAACAACCTAAGGCAAATTATATGGAGTTTTCGTTTTCTCCTCTATAAAACAGTAGTTCTCAGAACATGTAAGGGTATTCTGTAGTTTGGAACAGAGGCAGATTTGAAGACAGGTTTTGATGAGGCTGTGAAGGTGAAAACCTGTTTCCTAACTGTGCTTCAGGTCTGTTTGGAGAATCATAGTGTTTTTCCTGTTTGCTAACATTAGAATACTACTCATTTAACAATCTTACATCTTCTTGATTATATAGCCCCTTAGGCAATGAATCAAAGATTTTGATGTAATGACTTTTAAAGCTATGGAGCACCTTTAGAAGCAGGTTCAGTTGGTTATATTGTTGTACATTGTTAGTACATGGTTGTAAACATGGGGTTTTTTTTTTTTGGCTTCTACCTATTTTTCTTATATTAAAACTATTTCAAGGATCACAGTCATTCCTTCTAGAACATGGCTGATAAAAAGAGAAAAACTGAAGCTCATGAACTCTGTGGGAACTGTGATTTCTAAAGGTCATACAGGACAGTTTGACCACTATCCTGGCTACTTACAGAAACAAGACATGCTTTTTTGCCAGTGACATGTCTTTTATGCTTATTCCTAGTAGTGTACATAAGATTTTGCAAATAAATAGTATAAGGAAAACTTTTCATTTTTACTTAACTTTTATTATTTGCAAATAAACAATTCAGTGGCACATTGGAAATATATGAATTGATTCAATGAAAATATTAAATGAATAGTAAGTGAAAATTTTAAGTGAATGTGTACAGCCTCAAAATGATCTGCAGCAAATGAATCTCCAAAGCCAAAATAACTAAGTTTAATACTCAGGGCCTTTTCAAGCTTGCTAAACAGATTCCTAGTAGAAAAATGAAATAATAAGGAAATGTGCAGTAATAAGAAAACTGAACAATTGAATCACCCTCTCTAACTAACAGGATGATACCTGTCCTCTCATTAATAGTAAGCATTTCTATTTCTTGTCAGTTACTATGTTCTGGCATAATGCAAAATGCTTATATGTGTTACCTCATTTTATCCTCACAACAACCTGTGAGGGGGTTATTAATAGTTCTGTTTTATGTATAAGAAACTGAAGCTTAGAGAGACAAAGTACCATGCTCAGTGAAGAACTGGCAGAGCTAGATCCTGAAGCCAGCCCTGTCCGGTGATAAACACTCTATTAAACTCTAGCCATGTGAAGTAGAAAGAAGTTAAGTACTCGTTTCTTTAACTTTCTTTCTTTAGTTATTGGAAAAATTAGATTGAGAGACTCATTAAAGGTTACATGACAAAAGGCTTGTGGGCTGCCAATTAAATGACTAAACTAGCAATCACTACTTGTCCGGTGCCTGTAGCTACATGGCCTTGGGGTAAGTGTGATATGCAAGTGAACTGAAAGGTGAAAAGTAGAAGGAAAAAGACAGACAGTCCTTGGATAACTGTTACCTCTACTATTAACTAACAGGGAGTTCTTGGACTAATTACTTAACTATTCTGACACTTGGGTTCCTCCACCAAAAATAAAGATATGAGGACCTATCTTGCAGAGTTGTTGTGAGGATAACATGTTCATAAATGGCCAAGAATCTAGCTTATTTTACGCACTGAGTAGATGGTGACTGTTGTTACTGCTTGGTACTTGGATATGAGAACTTAAAAACCAAGAAACACTATTTGTCTATAGGCAATCATGCAGAAAGGCATTTTCCATAAACATGGGAAAAGGGACATTATTTACTTTTTAAAGTGCCTATTTTGTTACTTTGAGGCAAGAAGATTCTTTGAAAAAGAAATCAACTTTATTAATATATAATTTACATAAAATAAGATGCATAGCTGCCAAGTGTGCAGTTTGATGAATTTTAGTAAGTGTATATGCCTTTGAAACCAGCACTACAATCAAGATCTAGAATATTTCCATTATTCTATGAAGTACCCATGAGCCCACTCCACCTCTGCCCCAGGAAACCACAGTTCTGACTTTTTATTCACCTGGATTCGTTTTATCTAGTCTAGAACTTTATGTAAGTGGCAGTTATACAGTAGGTACCTTTTTGTGTCTCTTCTTTTGCTCAGCATGTCTTTTCCAGGTTGAAGCTACTACAAACAAAGCTGCTATGAATATTCATCTACAAATTATTCTATGGATTTATTTTTTTCATTTCTTTTTGGTAAATACTTAAAGGGTCGAATTGTTGAATCATTAGGTACATGTTTAATTTGATAAGAAACTGTCAGATCTTTTTATAAGTAGTTATACTACTTTACATCCACACCAGCCACATATAGACTTCTCATTGTTTTGCATTCTTGTCAGCTTTTGATATTTCAGTCTTTCTATTTTAGCCATTAGATAGAAAGTGGTATCTCATTGTTGTTTTAATTCACATTTTCTTAATGACAAAAGATTTTGAGCACTTCTTTCATGTGTAATTTTTCATGTGCTGCACATTTGTGAAATATATATTCTTACCTTTTGACCAAATTTTTAATTTTTTATATTCTTATTGTGGTGTAAGCTTTTTATGCATTCTGTATACAGATTTTTATGAGACATATGTACTAAAAATATCCTCTTTGTGGGCTTACCTTTTTATTTTCTTATTGATGTCTTTTGAAGAACAAGTGAGTTTGTAATTTTGATAAAACCCAGTTGATTAACTTGTTTTCTTTTATTGTTAGTGCTTTTTGTATCCTAAGAAATCTTTTTCTAACATAAGTCCAGAAGATTTTCTTCTATGTTTTCTTATAGAACCTTTATAATTTTAGCATTATGTTTAAGTTGATGAGCCATTTAAGAACACTTTTGGGGATAGTATGACATAGGAGTTGATGTTTATTTTGTTTCCATGTGGATATCAAGTTGATCCATCAGTTTTGTTGAAAAGACTATTCTTTCTCCAAGATGCCCCTTGACACCATTGTCAAATATTGATTTGCCTTATATGTATGGATCTGTTTCTGAACTTCCTATTCTTTTTTCAATGATCTGTTCGCTTATTTTTATGCCAGCACCACACTGTCATGATTATTGTAATTCTTGAAATCTTGAAAAAGTCCTCCAATTTTATTTTTTCCCAACAATATCCCGTTTTATGTTATTTGCATTTAAATGTATATTTCTAAGTATACATTTAGAAACAGTCTGTCGATTTCTATCTAAAACACTGCTGGAATTGTGATTGAAGCTGCATTAAATATGTAGATCAATTTGGAGACAATTTACATTTTAATGATATAAATCTTCCCATCCATGAACACCATATATTACTCCACTTATTCAGGTTGTCTTTAATTTCTTTCAGCAATGTTTTATAACATTCTTTGTGGAAGTTTTGCATCACTTCTGTTAAATTTATTCCTAAGCATTTTACATGTTTTGAGGTTGTTATAAATGAAAGTATTTGAACTTAATTTTCTTGTTGTTTGTTGTTACTATATAGATTTAATATATTTGACTTTATATCCTTTTAAGAACTTTTCTTCATTAAGACTTGAGAAGAATAATAAGAGACTGCAAACAAGAGCTGGTGGATGTGAATAAGAGAAGACGATCAAGACACACAAAGAATGATTCTATACGGACAATTTTAGAAAGTAGGTAATGAAAAAAAAACAGTAACAAATCAGTTAACTATTGCTATATAGCAAACCATCCCAAAATTCTGTGCCTTAAAGTAATACACATACTATTATATCACAATCCTTCAGGTTAGCTGAGAGGTTCTCATGCTATTTTCACCTAGCTCATTCATACACATACATTCAGTTGTATCTTTGTCTCAGAAACACATATGATGCATCAGTGAATGAAGAATTAATTTATTGGGGGCAATAATTTTTAGCATCAAAAAGAACTATTGAAAAGAACATGAATAACCCATTTCATATACTCACAATATTGGAAATAACCAGATACTTTCAAAAATATTCACTTGCTATTTTATCTAAAATATTAATACATCTCAACTAATTATAGTGATTCATAAAAAACTAAAAGATAAGAAGAAAGTATAATTTTATTTACTTTTTAACTAATTTTAGCTCATACAGAATCAATTAAAGAGTTGGGTAAGAGGAGCAGTACTTGTATGTAGGAAGTGTCATTTAATCATGGATAAGAAGGAAATAATTTTTAAATGAAATATATGTATGTACACACACATACACACATATATTCCAAATAGATTATATATATATATATTTTTTTTTTCACCATAATATTCCCTTATAGTTCTTTATCCTAGTAACCATAGCCCCAACTACCTAGTCCAGAAACCTGGGAGCCATCCCTCAGGTCACCTTGTCCTTTACCCCAACATCTAATCCATTTCCAGGTATTGTCCATTAGACCTCCTTTATATTTCTTGGACATTTCTACTTCTCTCCGTGTCCACTTCAAACACCCTTGTCCATGTCATCAATTCTCTCTCTTAGGCACTAGCCTCCTAGCCAATTTCCCCACATTCACACATGCTCACTCCTCACATACTCCATACTGCAGCCAGGATAATTTTTCCACAAATACGCATCTGACCATGCCATTCCTATCATCAAAACACTTTAGGGGAATCTCACTGCTCTTAGGGTGAAGTAGAAAATCTGTACTACGGCCTAATGGACCCTCTTGTCGACTTCTGCAGGTTCCATGCCACCACCATCTCCATGTTCCCCCAGCCCCACCTCCTTTACACTGCTACTATTCATTGCCTTTCCAGATCAAACTTTCATCCCAGCTCCCATCAAGGGCCTGTTTTGCATGAATCACTCTACTCTTGTGTTAGCCAAATTCATCTCCTTCTTCAAGTCTCAGTTTGAATGTCATTTCTTTCTGGAGACTCTCCCTTAACCCCGACACAAGGTCAGCTCTTTCTCTTTTGCACATACACAGTATACTGCACTTCTTTGTAAAGCTGACCTCACCTATAGTTACATGTTCAATGTGTGTCTTCCTGATCGAACTACAATTTCCATAAGGATATAAATTTCATCAGTAATCATCCAAGCTGTTTATTTCCATCCGTAGAAATGACGATGACTTCCTTTATGTACTGTGTGTTGATCAAGTATAGTATCTGTTCTCAATATATGTTAATAAGTAGTAATCATAAAAATACTTTGTCCCAGCCCAGCATGGTTTCAACAAACATGTATTACACTCCCAGAATCAGTGTGCCAAATATAAAGTCACTTCAGCTGTCTCAGCATGGGAATGTAAGTATTTACTCACTTGGGAGAGAAATAGGCATAATTTAACCAGAATACAGGGAGTCTGCTCCAGAGGGCTCTTGGGCTGAAGCAATTGGAACCTTAATCTCACTAAAATGACAGGGTCTTGGCTGAGGTGAATGGGAAATCTTGCCCAATACTTGACCACACCAAGCTGGCTTTAGTTAGACTCTCACATTTACATGTACCAAAATCTACATGTTTCTTAATTTAAAAAGGATAAAGGTAAACTAATTGGAACAAAACAACAACAACAAAAAAAGCAGTTTTATGGTAGACTAGATAGTTTTAGAGTTATCTTACTTATTCACTTGTAAATTGAATAATTCATTTAAATGACCAGTTACTGACATCTTATTAGGACTCTGGTTACTTTATGAGCTGCCCTTTTTTGAGAATGATGTTTCGGCAGTTGACTGTGTGGTGAATTGTAAGATGAGAAGGAGAAATGCTTTAAGATACTCTACACTAAACTGCAAAGTTTATGTGGCAGAATGCATATGTGAGCATTGAGATGGGGCTCTTAAAAATGCTGTGACTGGTTCTGGGAAATAACAGTGCCCCAGTGAAGAGCAGGTACAGCTCCAGTGAAAATGGAGATATTTTCACATGTGAACTGCCAAATTATCATTTGTGATCTTTAAGATTACCACAAAGAAAATCCACAAATTATTACAGCAGATATTTTTGTGTTTACGTTTATGTACACAATCAAATCGGCTTTTCTCTAAATGTCTCCATTAGAGGCTTGCTTTCAAAAAAGAAAAATACCCTACAAAGAATGAGCATACACTGAGTTATTTATCAGTACATTTTTACTATGCTATAACCTTGTACTAATAATCAGTTATACAAACAGTGATTAGAGAGAACAATTTGATGCAAGTTGCTTGTTTCCTTGTAAGTAAATGGATATTATCAAGTTGATTATTTCTGGAGGCAAATAATATATTTTCCTGATGATACTGAAGACCCTAAATAAAATGCTGCTACAATATATTACCTGATACATAATCATCTTTAACAAAGATTTATTTCATGATGGTACTTCAACCTAATTTCTGAAAAGCAATGCCATTAACACTGAAAGAGAATGGAGATCTGTCTTAAAAATGCAATGTTTATTTCACATTGGCTAGAGATTGAGACTGAGCATGATGGCTAAAGACATTTTTAAAGAAAACTGGCTGTCTTAAGTATGTGATCTCTATTTTGGCATTTCCCTTGGAGCCTGAGTAAAGTTTCTGACTGCTAAATTACTATTAGGATGACTGACTATTGTTTATTGAATTGACTCCTGCAAAGTTGGTGTGGAGCCCAGGTTCTATGGGAGTTACGTGTTAGGGACTAATCTGTGGGATTTTGAGCCGAACATTTAATAATCACTAGAACCAAGCACTCACCCCATGCCTGCCGGGTCATTAACAGATTCGTTATAAATGAGGAAATGGTCCCAGAACAAGTGCCAGTGGTTTTTAGAGTAATATTAAAAGCCAATGAAATGTTCTGGGGATATACTGAAGCACATATCAATTTTGGGGATAGGACGTTGTAAATGTAGAACTAGATTTATGCAGCATTGTGGTGAGGGTATCTATAGTCTTAATCCATTCTCAACAGACTCTCTCAATTTCTTGAAATTTTTCTCAATTTCTTATAATAATTCCTAAAAGAAAGAAGACTGTAATAGTTATGCTATTGTTAGTTTAATATCTCGACTCACCTTCTGAAAACCTCATATCCTCATGGCATGGCTTCTCCTGGGAGACTTGACATAGAGCAGTTTATGGATTCACTGATACAAGCTACTTGCTACTAGGAATTTGAGAAATTCATGGGTGGTGTCTCACCAGGAGCCCAAAAATGGACTTTTAGGAGTGGTTAGCAAATGACATAAGACTGCTTTGGTAGACTTCCTCAGAGACAGAAAAATGTTCTCTATAGGTCTACTGTGTCAAAGCCAGTCAGTAGTTTCCTTTGCATCATAGACTTCCTCACCGCTCTAGAATGAGTTACGCCAAGATGGAGATTTGCTGAAATTCATATGTCATTTGAAACTGTGAGTGGGAAAAAACTGCTTTTGCATTTCTACCAAAAACCACTGAAATGAGTCATCCTCTAGGGGGCAATAGAGTATGACACAGATTCAGGATTGCCTGGATCAAGTTCCTGAGGAAAGAATTGATCAGGAAGAATTATTAAGCAGTCTTACACTTGAGTAAACATTAAACAAGTTTCAGCTCAAGTGGACCAAGACATGAATGTAGCTGGCCTGCAGGAGCATTACAGATGAATGAGCCTCAAGCCCAGATCTGGAGAAGACTTGAGGAGGAAGGCATGAGGCAAGGCCGGCAGCTCTTGAAGTGTGATGCTTTAAAGTAATGTTTCTGACCCTGGGGAGGCCCTGTCTTGCCCAGAGAGTTCCAGGTTGGGAAGTGTCCCCCGTTATTGAACTCCAGTAGGATTTTTGAGCTACCCAACTCCCTACATTTTATAGTACCCAGAATGGGAAGAAAAATTGTATGAGCCACTTCGGATTCCCCCAAACTTTGGTGATTCAGTTTGGTCCCATATTGCTTTGGTTCTGTTGGTGCAGGTCATTTAGTAGTCAAGCGCCATGTATTAGAAAGAATCATGTGAAATCACCTTCATTTTCCTGTTATGAAAACAAAGGCCCTGAATGAGTGGGTGGGCATTAAAATCCTAGTGCTGGTGCATTTCCTTTCCAATTATATAGGAGAAACATAGATGGACACAGGCATGGTACACTTACTTTCCAGAGTTCCTGTCTGGTGGTGAGCCTGTCTGACCCCAGTGCAGAAGAAGAAAAGCTTGTTGGAATGTGATGAGTGGTGGTGAGCTGTGCAAACACAGATGGCATTCTCGTCTTGGTAGTGGTTCAGAAAGATCTAATGGGGCCAAGGACAACAGAGAAAATAGAATTACCTTGCAAATATCCATAGCCTTCCCCACCCCTTTTCTTTCTTTCAAGGAGAAATACTTCTTACTTGTTGGTTGTATTCTATGCAGAATATGGTTGGTGGGATAATTCTTATGAAAAAGCAGTCAAAGCACAGAGCAAGAATAAACTTGACAGAGGGTTGCATGCAGCAGGGAAAGGCCCTGTAGGCAGCTCAAGCTGGAGGAGGCAAGGGACTGAAAGAGGGTCCCTCCTTAGGCCGGAGAGAGATGGGGGTGGGGGGGACAGTGGGAGGACCACAGTAAGGACTGAGTTGAGTGTTATAAAGAAAGGAATAAGAAAACTATCCAAGAATAAGTCATATGGCTTGTATTAAGAATTTTAGGCATTCTGTCCATTTTTAGGCATTTCTCCCCCACCAAGAGACTTAGTAAAGATTCCAATTGCT